TTTTTCATTTGTTCAGTAAAAATTTTAGTAAGTTTGTTTTTGAATCGTTCATGTTTCTATTTTCCTTCGTTTTCTAACTGAACGATCGTTAAAATGAATCGTTTGTTCAGTGAAATTGTTTGTTTAGTAAAATCTTTTTTTCATAAAATCGTTTGTTTAATAAAATCGTTCGTTCAGTAAAACGACGATCCTTTTTTAAATTTGTAAAAAGTAAAAGCGATAGTTTTTTCCAAAGTTGGTTTAAAAACAGTTCGTTGGGTAAAATACTGACATTTTTTTAATATTCATCAATAAAATCGCTTGTTAGTAACGGTATAGAAATTGTTCATTAACGGTCAGACTGATCCATAAATTGCGAAAGATCATTAACTATTTGAAATCGAATTGCAAAAGATAGTTCGTTAGTTTTAAAAAACGGATCATTTTTTAATTCCTCTAGACGATCTAATTTGTTTGTTCATCGTTTTTTAATTTTCTGAACTACGCCAGCAGTGTTCACGAAAAGTTTCGGTCGCGTCGTTTTGATTTTTTTACTCATTTTCTTGCACTAAAACAAATATTGGCCCCCTAATACTTATCTTTGATTTTAATTTTTTTTTCTCGCAATATTTGAGAGCAACCCTCCATATATTTGCACAGAGTACGGATCAGTACATACAGAGTGCATGCCGCAAATCATAATATTTAATGTACTTTTGGTTAGTGGCCAGTTAATTTCCATATTTGCATCTTCAATTCCAGCTGAAATCCTCCGGTATGGTGAAGACGACATGAGCTATCTAGTCATGTCTAATTGTTTAAAATTTTAGAATTCCACTGGCCACGTCAGGCACTAAAGTCCTGATTTAATACCAAGCGCGGGTAAACGACGGGAGTTACTATGAGCATGAATAAAAGTAAAAATAACTTAGGCAATGCAGGGCACTCCAGCTAGCAATAGTATTACAATAATTATATACAATATTACTTTAACATAAATAGATTAAATTAAACAAAAATACCCACACTCTTAAGGAAAAAACTTTTAATATTTGGACATTATTCTTTCTTTACTGAAGTGGCAAACAAACGCGTTATAAATTAAAATATCCATTTCTAGGGGTTCTATTCTAAACTGTACGAGACTCAGAAGGTAATAATTTTTAAACTCGACCCGGTTTTGAAGTTTGTTGCACAATTTTCATAACTGTCTGGACCTCTTTAAGATATTCAAAACAAATGCGTTGTTTTGAATTGTCTGTTGATTGGTTTCCAAACGTTTTATAATCTTGAAATAATTTAGGAAGAGAGGAAATTAGATAAAAAGACGGGAAAAGTGTGGGGAGG